TAAACAATAAAAATACCCCTCCCCCAAACACCCCACCCCCCACAACCGAACTGGTATCTGATTCACTGATGTCAACATTACATTCAGGCCTACCTTAACCAACATGCACTATCTAATTGAAATGTTCACACAACTGCAATGATTTTGGTATTTAAGATATTTCTAACGCCCTTATAACGCCTTCCACTTTTTCCACGTTTTGAAAATATTATCACATCAGTGATGCTGAGTACATACTTTGTTTCATTTTCCAGGCAGGCAAGTGATCCATATTAAAAAGTATTTAAGTTTAATCTGTTTAGTGGCAAGCTCTTATAGTTGCTTTTGAACAGGATTTTTTTTAAAGTACCAAACGCAGCCCATTTCAACTGCATCTAACAGCGCTGTGTCCGCCCACTAAAACTAGCAATCAAATTAACTACTTTCAGGAGAATCGCTGTATCAGTGATGTTCTTTTTGTTTCAAAATGTGTCTGCGCATATTAACCGAAAACATAAGTTCAAGGAACAGGTTCAGTCTTTTTTTAAATTCCTGTCCAGGAGAGGGACAATTGGCATAGTGTTTACATAGCTGCTTTTAAAGCTTGACATCGGAACCAACCTCTAATCCTCTTTGCTTGCATTTATGAACAGAGAGTTTTGCTGACTTGCTAAAAACATAATGATTCCTTCGCAAAAAAAAAATTCAGAAAAACATCCAATGGGGTGGCCATATAAGAGAAACACATTTGTAAAAAGGACAGAAGCAAACTAACATAGATTACAAGCAAGCAAACACACAAATAAAATTTCAAAATTCGAAAGTTAAAGTATGTTTTTTATTATACATTTTAAATTGTCGTCGCACGAGTGAAATGGACCAGGGGAAACAACCAGTGGCATTACTTTCCACTTTAAAGTTTTCATTCTTCTGTAAAGTTGTCTCCTTCGTGTCCCGCGGTACATAAGCCCTAAGATTTAAATCCGTTCTCTTGATACAATCCTTCGAAAGCTAAACGAAAAGTATCTCTCTCCCCACCCTCTCTCCTTCTTTCTCGTTTACTCTTTTTCTCCCCTACTCTCCCACTCTCTCCGACTGTTCTCCTTTCTTTCTCTCCCTTTTGTAAGTCTATGATATGTAATGTACCTATTATGTATTATTTATGTATAAATCACAGGTTACTGTGTGGGTGTTTGTGTATGTGTGTGTGTGTATATGTGAGTATGTGCGCGCGCGCGCGCGCGTGTGTGTGTGTGTGTGTGTGTGTGTGTGTGTGCATGTGTGTGTGTGTGTGTGAGTATTTATATGTGTGTCTGTTTGCCTGTGGGTGTTTATGTATGTGTGTTTGTTTGCGAATGTGTGTGTGTATGTGTGCGCGCGCGCGCGCGCGCGCGCGCGCGTGTGTGTGTGTGTGTGTGTGT